ACAGCTGTCCTCTTGTGCTCTTCCAAGGCTCAGTAAATAAGTTGGTATCAATAGTTCATAATACTAACATTCCACAGAAATGCAAAGATTAGATTCACCTTTATAGGACTATTATTTCATCATGTCTAAATGCAGTGGCACTGCAACACTTACACGTTTCATACCATCAATCTTTTCATCACAGACACATGCAAAAATTTCAGCATATATAATTGGCAGTAACTCCAAAAATGAGGGTATAGGATATCAGAAACCAAGCATCTCCCACAGGACAATCATTTTGTTTGATTGCCATCCCCCACCAGAACTTTGCACCCTACAGCATAAAAAATGATGAGTAACTAATATTTTTTTTAAAAAAAAAAACCTAAAAAAAATTACTGCCATACTTATATCAGTATGTGCCATTTCAACTACAACTTCTATCAATTTTAAAATTTTACTACATCATAAGTTAAGAAAATGGTGAAAAACATTTTTCTCCATTCAATAATACTGCAACTAGCCAGCAATCATACTATTCCCTGCTTCTGAAACCACTGAGATGGATTTCCATTCACTTTGACCTAAGACAACATTTCTAATAGCCAGTCGTCTGATAGTTACATAGCAGGGAGCTCTTTGTGTGGAGTCTCAATCTCATGTTGCAGCAGGTACTTTAAGAGCAAAACTCCTTTTTTTCCAACCGAATTTTGATGTCCAATTCCCTTTGAAGACTCCCTTCTTATGTATCTTTGAAAATCTGATCTTCAATTTGTTAACTATTTCCCCCTCCCATTTGACATAAAATTCCTTTTCTTCCTCCTGAGCAGTCAGAAATGAGGGCAGAAGCAGCTCCATAGTCACAGCGTGAATGATGTGTAGTTGCTTGGCAAACTAGAGCTCCTTCTCTCAAACTTCATTTATTTTTTTCCATCCAGTTGCATAAAACAGCTTCATAATGGAGCAGAGGCTTCTATGTGTAATTCATCAGAACTGATTTACATTCTTAAGATAAAAGTAAATATTACTGTAGGTAGGAACTAGATTCAGTTGTCCACTGCAGAAAAGAGTTTTGCAAATCCCTACGAATTTCTACGTTACTCTCAGCCTGTCCCCTTCATCCAAGTGGACACTATTATTTAAATAACCACTAGCTATCTGATGAAAATAACTAACGGCAGGTTTTTCTGTGTTTTTCTTGCTATTGTCTCTGAGTCCTTCAGTATCAGTCTTCTTCAGCAATTTCCTGATGAAGCAAGTCTAGAGATAAGCTCTGACTACAAACATTTTGAGCCCTACCACAATTCTCTACTTTGTCACAGATTTTCTCAGTCAAGTCATGCAGGGCCAAACTTTTAATAGTGTCAAGTGTCTGCTCTTCCCTATGACAGAGGGTATTTTGTGGAAAAACAATTAGGGAGATCATGGAAAACCCAAATACTGCATTATTTATATCATCAAAATCCACGGTGACAGGCCAGGACTGCTTCTGCTGAGTACCCTTCACCAAACATTTTACTGTTACTCTTCTGCTTTTGTACTGAGAAATTTGTGCCTGGTTAGGATCCATAATATCCTTCTTACCACCCTGTCACTGGTTTGAAAACCATGCTGCCTGAACCGGCCCATAGAAAAAGAGAGAAAAAACATCCCAGCCAAGCACTGGCAAATCTACTCATTATTACTTATGGCTTTTTTTACTTAAGATAGTAAGGGGATTTATTTTCTCCTCACCATGTATATATCCAGAGTTAAGAAGATCATCTCACAATCTGCAACTAACTTCAATGAATAGTGTGTGATTTACAGAAAGCACCATATTCTAAAGTGTGCCTGATGAGGAATTGATATCTAAAGTAAAGACTTGTAAACCTGACTTGTTTAAAAAACTTCAGATAGAATGAATTATATGGCATTCACAAAACAAATAAATAAATAATATCCTGCAGAGACTCTCGGCCACACACTACCAGGTAGGTTCTGTACCACAGCAATTTTGTTATACCAATGAGAAATTAAGCACACAAGGAGTTGTGATGTAAAAGCGGCACTCAGAGAATAAATTCAGATTCAATCACAGAAGTAAATCCTCATTCAATGCTTTGAAAATTTACCACCAAGTGTGAAGCTAAAAATATTAGCTCATAACAGTGAGCTATCTTCCAACCACATCCTCTTGTAGAACAACATCAATAAGAGACAAGTCTGAAAATGCACCTTAGAGGAATTAAAGAACGTTTGTTTGAAACGAGGCCATTTCACTTTGGGACTTTTTTTTGTGTTTGCTTTTTGTTTTCCTGATCTATAGAACATATCCTGCACTTTGGGGTATGGAAACCAGCCTAAATCACACCCACAGTCAAATCAAATTTAACATATCTTTACAACACTTTTGTAACATGCAAATAGGTGGAGGCCCTGCTTCTCACTCACATAATCTTCCTTTGTGTCAGAGAAGGAGAGCAAGAATGAGTTTGTAGTATATCAAAAACTGGTTACATATACTGTATTCAACATGTGAATCTTCAGCAACCTACACCTTCACTCCATGTGCATCAAAGAAGCAAACCACACGGCAGCATTGTAAAAAGATGCTTGGCAAGCCCATGCGGCTACATCCCTATAGTCTGTCACTTCTTTTCCAGGGTTCTGCTTGAAGGATCTCAGAAAAATTCATTTTATGTCATCTTTCATTAAAAATAAATAAATAATAATAATAATAAAAAAAGAAACCCTGGCTGCATTCACTCAATTTTTTCTTAAGCTTGTGTAGCAGCTCAAAGAACCCAAACCAAACATTTTCTCAAGATAAAACTGATTAACAGCAAAATTCCACCTTCAAATTCTTAGGCATCCACCTCACTCACAAATTTTGTCTCTTGATACACATCTGATTCAAAAATAAATGATTTAAGTTTCTTTCAGAAATTTTTCATTATTGTGTCACTTAAGAGCAATCAGAGACAGGAACTTTAAAATTTGGAACATTCTGACCCAAATCCCCACGAACAAGCTACTTCTCAGGACACTTTCTGGACAACATCTCACAACGCATGCTGACTGCACACTCCTGGTGTGGCCACCACAGCTCACAAACCTGCAGCGGTCTGTGTGCTAGCACTGAGCAACCAGTCTGCAGTGCTGAGGAGAGTCATGTCACCTGGAGGAAAATGGCAAACAAACAAAAAAAAAAGCAGTTGGCTTTGTCTCAGAAGGTAAACATGTATTTCATGCTTTAGCTTTGCTGGTAGAACTCCCCCCCAAATAAACAAGCCTGGGCTTTAAAATTCCAACATCAGAAAAAATGAAGTTACTGGGCTCTAATTTACTTAGTAAACTCCAACACCTACTGAAAAACTGGGATATAATTTTCAGAATTAGTTTCTACATGAGGTCAACATATGAATAGATAAAATATCTAACTAATTTCTTAACAAAGTGCTACTGGTCACCCAATTTTTCAGAGTGTATTTTTGCACTAACAGCTATATGGAATAAAAAGTCCAGCCACAGGGCAGGTGCCTCTCTGTGTTTCAAGAAGCACGTCATTTTTTTTTATTTTTTATTTTTTTATTATTATTTTTTTGCTACTGGAAACTCCACAAATTAAGCAGAAGGTGCAAGTTTACTGCTAAGGCTTTAGCAAGTAAGAGTGGCTTTAATTTCAAAGGGTTGAGCTACTTTATCATGTACCAAAACTGGTATATACATGATAATATGGTAAAAAAAAAAAAAAAAAAAAAGAATAAGGAGAAGCTTGGTATTAAAAGCAAGGGCAACTCATAGAATCATAAGAAAGAACCACAATGACCATCTAGTTTCACACGAAATATTCTTCTGCTTAACCTACTTAACACATTAAGTGCATTATTTATTCTTTTAAAAAACCTTCTTAGTTGTTGTTTTTAATGGCTTAAAATTTGATTTCAGCAATATTTTTACTGCAATAGTAAAAAGTAAATTACACACAACTCCGGCACAAAAGCCTGTTAATCTGATAACCCATAAACCTTCCCCACTACTGAGGACTCCAATTAGAATGAATAACAGAGATGTTTGCGGAATTGAGGGGGGACAACATCTGTTTGACTGACATGTGCCTTTCCTGGAAATATGCAATTCACGTCCATAAACTTCCACAGTCTGACAGCACTAACATGACTCAATTTTTAGGAAACAAATTTAAAAAGGCATTTCTTTGCTACAATACTTATTTAACCTTTTTTATTAAAAAGTTTCGTATAAGGATGCATGACTACAATTTTCAGAAATGCATTAAAAACTCCGCCCACAAAATTAGCCAAACATCATTTATGTTCCTTCTTACCATTGCCGTATAAATGCATATAAATGCATACAAAGAGTATTTTCACGACTTACATAAATCCTTCTGTACTTCATTATACATCATTACTGGCAAAGCAGTTTGGTTGTTCTGCTGTTAGTATTCTACTGAGAACAAACATAACTTATCAACTGCCTGATTGCTGCTTGAAAATTAGGTATCAGCTTACCCCATTCAATTATTACACCTGTTTGAATTTTGGCCACTTTGTCAGAGCAGCAAGCTAGCCCTAGGAAATTTCAACACTCCGTTTCATTAGTCTATTTGACAAAACTTCCATAGCCTTAGGAGCTTGCAAAAAGAGTGAACATAACGAAATACTGAAATGGGGAGAACAACTGAAAGACTGCATTTTGTGGTTTGACCACTGTAAACACTTCCTCTCTCCTCATTACTAAACCAGCCTTTCGGGTTCTTTGGATGTTTTTCTCAGCTCTGCACACACTACCTGCTCAGTCCATTCAAGCTACCCGAAAGGAACATAAAACTGGAAAACTTGATAATAATAACTGCTGATAAAACACTGATCATAAGATTCACGCGCTGCGATATAGAAACATATAGCACTTCACACAGTAAAACCTCTTCCTCTACATATCTTACTGACTGTAAGAGGACTGATACAACAAGGAGAAGAAACAAGCAACAGAATACTAAAACAATGGTATCTCACCTTCTGTGCCATTGGGTGTCATGGAATTGGTATTTATATGAGAGTTATCAAGCTTTGGACCACTGGGGGATTCACTACTACCACTTAGTCGGCTGTGTGGGCTGGCTAGATCCTGCATTTCCATAGACCTGAAAGCAAGATGCAGCCAGTTTTAGTGACACGTTCAACAGAGATTACGTAGGAGTTACTGATACAATGTGCAGCCCGCTATGAATCGAAATCCTCAACTTAAGTAGCAAAAAATGAACAGCTTCTTCCAGTGGGATTTTTTCTAATTTCAAACTTCTATCATGATACACACAACTAGTGATTGCATTATTTCTGTGGCTTAAAAGAAAAAAATTTAGATTTGAAGTAGCACACTTGAAACACTCACGTCCCCTTGTATTTTAAAGATATGTATAAAGACAGAATCCCCACTATATGAAGACATACATTCTCTTAACAACCAATTAACACTGTGCTTTTTCAAGATTTACCACTTAGTGGCAATATAATGGGCCTCTAAACCAAATAAAATACTTGTAGCAATTGTTGAAACCCATCATCTACTGACAGGGAATGAGATATTCCTGATGTATGTGTTTACTCTGGCAAACTACTTAATTGTTCCTCTGTTTCCGCTGAAACAAATGCAGCATTAAAACAGTATTATGTCTGCTCACTTGTTTGCTTTGTGGATTACATAAAGCGTACCCAATTGGAAAGGGATATGACCAACATACAGTGAATCCATACATGTGTCAGTATGCCTTAGCACTCTGCAGTATCTCAGCAGCTGTCGTTTAGTCAAAATAATAAGAGAGCAATTCAGATTCAATGTAAAACTTAAACATTTACAGAGTACTCAAGCAGCTGAGTATGTCTGATTTGTGTTGTTAACAGCCTTATATAAAAAGGACAAGAATCATCACCACCATGATATATACCACCGTATATGTTGAAAAACTTGGAAATTCAGTGCCCCTTATTCATTGCTTAATACCCCAAAATTTTGATGATGGTATTTGACATACTTAACACAAGTAAATGCTCTCAGCAGAAATATCATCACCCCAAGGCATTTCAGGCAGTAACTTTTCTCCTTAAAATAAATGCTTGGGCTCTTACAGAGACCTTATTAAAATTATATAAAACAATCCCTCCACAGCAATGGTATAAACAAACATAAGTGCCATTTCTGCCATGAAGCTTCCACATTTTGACTGAGATTTTACCACAAGTTCTGAACACAAACCCTCCATTTTATAGTTTATTGCTTAAAATCAAGTACACAGAAAAAAAAAGGACAGTCCCACAATGAGTTAACCAAGCCACTATCCAGTACAAGGTAAAATGATTTGGTGAAAATACGTGCCTGCAGCTGACAGACTTTGGGGCACACATATAGAAGCAAAGCTCTCACGCTTGTTGATCGGCTTCATGTGGAAAACAGGGATAATTATTTACTTATCACGTGAGGAAGGGGAGGAGAGGGAAGGAAAAAAGCTTGCAGAAAAATAGCAGTTTTCAATCATATCCTTACCTGCAACTGGAGGAAACAGCAACATCTGAACTGGTTTGGGACTTCTGCACCTGTAAACCAGGGAGACAAACAGAAGCCTCTATTACTCCGCTTTCATGTGAGGCCTTAATTTAAACAAAAGATCATCACCGCAGACGACGATTCTGTCCTTTAAACCAAAACGGAGAGGAGGAGGGCACGGTGCCGGTGAAAGACATATTGTCTTTAAATTGAAGGCTCGCCTGTTGTTTCCTCGCAGGTCCCTCTCCCTCCTCCTCGCGCAGGGACGGCGGCCAAGTGCCGGGACAGTGATTCATCAGGGGCCCGTGACAGCTGCAGAGGGGCTCCCTCCTCCCTGGCCCCGCTGCCGCACGCCCCGCTGAGGGCAGGACCCCAATGGTGGCAGTGGAAGCGCTCCCCCTGAGCCCCTCGCACCTCCGTAACGCTCGCCCCTTCCCACCACCGCCCCACGACCCTCTCCCTCCCAACCCTCCAATCTTGGCAGCATCTTGCCCTCCTCGCCTTGGCTGTCCTCTCCCTCGGCTCTCCGCCACCCAGCCGTCCTCCTGGGAGCCACCTCACCCCACATGCGAGGGGCAAGGCAAGGCTGGCGCTACATTTTGTCCTTTCCAAGGAGATCTGCCTGTTGTACAAATTTTCAGTATCTCATCAATAGCATTACACGACCCTCCCCAAAACAAGCCCATCTCCAAACACGGCAAATTAAAATAAAGCACACGGCACTGCACAAGGTCTTACTCGTAAAAATTCTGCTCGCTAATGAGATTTCCGATAAAATGACTTAAAAGAGCACTTCTGGCTAAACAAATGGTAGGAAGCTGCAACGTTTACCTCTGAGCTCACTCATCAAAAGAGGAATTTGGTTCCAATGGGAAGCCAGCAATAATTTTCCAGTTTAATAAAAAGACTCCTTGGATAACTAGGTGAGTAATAGATTTTCATATCCTATAAGGAGAACACTCCTGCCCCGCTAACAGGAGCTGCTCTGTGGCCGGCTTGGAGTGTCAGCAGGTGATAAGCTCAGGTGAAGGGACGCCGATGGCCGCTGTTAACCCAAAGCACACAAAGGCTGAACTGGGAAAGGTAGAGACCGCCCCAGCGTCTGCACTGAGACTTTTTCATGCGCCTCCATTCAACCTGAACTGACATCTCTTAACTGATCACAGAGCAGAGGCTCTGTGAGATGAGGCATTTTAAGTGCCATAAAAATCATCCAAGCAAATCCTACTTCTGTGTCCGTAGTTTTTTTGTTGTTTTTAATCACGGGCAGAATTACTACCAGCAAAAGTAAACAACAGTTGGGGCGGTCGGACAGCACCAAACATTACAACTGATGGCAAGAAGCATGCAATAAAGTGCACGGAAAACACCAATATCTTTATAACTGGGTACTTATAATTCTACATAATGTGATTCTCAGTACATTGATGCCTGCAAAATCAAACAAGACGAGCAGATACATTCAGAACTGTGCACTTTGTCTGAAAGATCTCTTTTTGCAATCTTTTACACAGCAGAGAGCCTTAGGATACATTTCTGCTGTTACTTCTAAACACCTGGAAAAAATTATAGGTGAGAACTAAGTTTGTTTACAGAGCTATCTTCACTCCCTCTTGCACAGGATCCTCTAAAACGTACCTTTTATGATAGAAAAAAACTTCCTTTTTCAAATGGATGTTTTAATTAACTGATATTTTCTTAAGTGCCCTACAGGTTATTCATACTTCACTGAACTCCAAAATGCACTTAATCCTCCCTGTTTCACTGACCCAAATTAAAAATAAAACAAAACTTCTGTGCACTTCTAAATATGTACGTCTGTTTATGGTGAGAGAGATTTCATTTAAGGTTTCATGGGAGAGGGTAAGAAAAAACCCCAGTTCGTTGAGAGCAAATTGAATATATACCTTAATATATACCTTCTACATCCTCTTACGCTCTATGATTTGTGAAAGTTCATATCCACAATCTTCATTTTCATTAGACATACTTTGGATATATTCCTTTGTGTCTCAAGGATTATTTAAACCATGTGTTGCACGTTACTGTATTTAAAAATGTCTCTTTAATCAAAATAACTTTAAAACAACTAATCCTCACTTAGGCTGGTCAGCTGAATCCACAGAGTGGTCCAGGAAAAATAAATCTACTCTCAAGAATGCGAATGCAGACAACAATTAGACACAGATGTGAGCGAAATTAGTTACAGTTTACAAAATGCTACACTTCACATGCTTTCAGTTTTTTATGCGTAGGACACAATTACAACATAGTAAAGGAACCACACTTAGGATGACGAGCTCACAGAATGAAAACATTTCTGGGTGGTATTCGCCAGCTCTCAGGCATTCTCCTGCTTTGGCCAGCAGATTCACGGAGAAGCGGAGCACTGCGACATAACTCACATATCAAACAAAAAGTGCGGAAACCCCGCGACGGCCTTCCCTGTCCAGCCAAAGAAAAAGGAGCTGTCAGTCAGCCTCCTGCCCTGCGCTCTGCCCAGCTCCAAGTGCCCCCCGTGATAAATGACACGCACATTCTGCTTGATGCATGAAAAATAGCGCTGCGGATAATTCGATTGCGGGAAGCAACGTTCACATCTCTCTCTCGAGCGCGGGCTGTGCTACGTGGGCACACGGCGGGAGAGAAAGGACGAGGAGAGCAAAGCCGCTTCAAATTCAAATTCTGTTTAAGGATCTTAAATCAGGAACATCGAATTCTGATTAGTTAATGAGGTCTTTTAAGTTTGCCTTTTTTTCTAATTAAATTTATAATTCTTCGCAGATGGAGGTTTTGTTGATGTTCAATTTGTCTCTCTCATTTTGTTAAACCTCACATAGTACTCCACCAATCCATTGAATAGCCACATTAAATCTGTTAATACCATGCTCTTCAACCCCAGAAATTATTTCCAGAAGGCAAACTTGCTTTGAGAGATCATCAAACAAGACTTAAGGTACACATTTTATCACAGTTTCCCTACCACAGAGCTCAGGATGCAGAGGAAAATTCATGACTTTTGCAATGTTTATTATACTTCGCTAAATTACAAATCAAAAGCATCTGACAGAAGATCGTGTACGAAGCCAAAAACTTAATAATGTTCTGTGAAAAGTAAACTGTAAATGGGAAGGGATTCTAAATTTCAGCAGCACAGAGCAAATAAAATGTAGGTACTTGTCTAAATTACAGGTTTTCCACACTATTTTTACTTGCTAGAAGCAATTTTTTTTTTTTTAATGGCTATAATTTAAAACATTTTTCTAGCTGAAAAGAAATTTTTTAAGTGAAAATAAGACGTTACCCCACAGAACCATTGCCAGCACACACACCTTCACATAAAGCACATTTCTACAAAGAAATTTCATGGACAAGGTAAATTTTCAAATCAGACCATTCCCTTGTAGGAAAAAAGAAAATCATTTTTAGCAGAGGGCGAAGAAAGACCTACCCCCATACAGCCCTCTTTTCCTCCTGTAAATGCTCCACGATCTCTATGTACACACATACTGGTTTCAGCAGCCAAAAAGCTCAAAACCCCAAACACAAACCGGCCACAAACAAGCACCTTGCTGACAACACACACAACTGGAGCAGCCCTCCCCTCCTATTGCTGGGCTGAGAGCGAAGAGGTAGAGCTTGTTGTGCTGGATACTCAAAGACAAATTGCACTTCTTAAAACAGAAGCAGATAATTACAGCCATTTAATTTTTAATTGCTAGTTTAAATTCTTCTGGAAGCGCCAGGCTGTGTGCTCAGCTCACACACTTATGAATGAAGCGCTGGGAAGCACAGCAAGCTCTCCCTGCTAAGGATGAAGTGCCACAGCGTGACAACACTCCCATTATAACCAGACATTTCAGAAAAGCCTCTCCTCTCCTCCAACACTTTTTTTTTTGCCCCCCGAGAAATATCTCATACTTATTGCCATTGATCACTCATTCTTCTCACTGCTCTCCTTCCGAGGGTGCAGTGTGGCTCCGGCTGTGTCACCTCAAGGGGCTGCAGGAAGGGAGCTGCACCCTGAGCAGGCCCTGGGAGCGCTCCGGCGGTGAGCAGTGCGTCAAGTGAGCTGTGCATACGTGCTGATGTATGGCCGGAGTATGTCATGTGTGCTCCGTGTACACACGAAGAGGCATTGGTTGACATGTCAGACCAGCAGCCTGTGCCCTGGTAGATGCTCTGCACTGTCTCAGCATGGGATGGAAAATAAGATTCCCCCTACGTGCTATCCAGTGTTCAAAACTTTCAGCAATGCACCGAACGTTTCCACGGCTTTCCTGAATTTCTCTCTGCTTTAACCAAACTATGGGAAATACACTTTTTTTTATCCTCTGAAAACTGTGAATTCTTCTGCTTGCACTTTTCTAACGAAACGACCAGCACAAAACCCAAATCCCTCCAACTCTTCTGAAAAACACTATAAAACGCACTGACACCTTTAAATTTTCCAGCACAACCCTTACACTGCCAAAGGCTGTCCTGCCCTCACTGCTGTTTGCCCCAAACACTCACAGAAATACAGACCAGGGAGTGCTGTGTGGGTCCCATCGCTCAAGAGCATAACACAAGTTTTGCACTTCTGCAGCTCATTGCCTTCCTACTTCTGAACTCGGAGCCACCGTGAAACATCGACATGCATTGGATATTCCGGCACTGCAGACATTCATTCTGTCATCTCAAAAAGTTCTCCTGGGGAGGTGGGGGCCTCTGTGTTTTCCTCAGTATTTGGGAAATTCAAACACATTAGGCAAAAGGATTTCCTGCTTCAGAAAGCGCTGTCAAAAATCCTTTTCATCATTATTTCTTTCCCCCCCCCCCCCCCCTTTTTTTTTTTTTTTTTTTTTTATAATTTACTTTTTCTCTCACGCTCTCGTGTCACTTTTAGGAAGGACTGTGGAGTCCCCGTATTGCCATGGAACCATCCGTATCGGTGTTGGGGAAATCTCACAGGAGGACCCCAGAACTTGGCCGGGCACAGCAAGCAGACCCACGGACAAACTGCATCCAGAACCCCGGCCAAAATTAACCGCTTTACGCTGCGCTCTAT